ATATATAAAAAAAACATCTTCGGAATGTCATAATTAACTTTCCTGTTGTATCGATAAACTCGGAAGTTATTTCATTATTGAAATTTGTTGTCTTCGTTTAAACTTTTTTATCACATCGTATTTACGTGGAAATAATAACGTTAAATATATTTTTATGATACTCATAAAAACTAAAAAGCGTTTATGATTGAATCGAAAATTCGATTGATTACTTTAATATCGATTAAGTTTTTGTAAAACATGCATGGATCGTATAATTACATTTTTTTATATATTATGTATATCTTTTTCTTTAACGAAAAAACACAATGTTCTTTTTTCCAACATTTATATTTACAACGTCACGATATTTTTTCCAATCATAATATATTTCGCGACGAAATATAAAAGAATAAAAATAAAACAAAAGAAAAAGGAAATAAAAAAACGAAGAAAAAGTAGAAGGATAAAAAAGAAATAAAGCGATAGTACGTCATCGTTGAACTAGTTAGTTGCCAACTAGAGTTTTTCGAAGATCATATTGGCGTATAAATTGACACGGTTGTTCAAAACTGTGTAACAATGTTTCTATCGAAAGAATCGTTAGTTAAAACGTTAGTTCTCAAAAAATCTACCGAATTCGAAACTTAGGAATTGAGGGGATGGTAGTATAACAAAAAAAAAAAAAACGTTCTTTATAAATAAAAATAATAACAATTTGTGCATACCTTCGTGAACCATAAGCGGAACATCTCCTCCTCAATCCTGACTCGTCAGATTCTCCGGTTGGATTTTTTGGTACGATTCTTGAAAGTGTTACAAAACACCTAAATATATCTTTGATATTGTAACCATCTTTAGCCGAACATTCCATAACTTTGGCTCGAAGTTTAGGTAATTTGCAGAATAACCATTCGCTGACATCTTCTATCGGTACTTCTCTTCGTGTTTCAGCTAGATCATATTTATTACCAGCAATCACTATTGGTACTTCCTATATTTAAAAGGATTTATGATTTTTTTTAATTAAATTAATAAATCAATTAAATTCAAGATTGAAATAGTTTTTGGTATTGTATTCTTAAACACAATGTGTGCGTTGTTTACAAACATTATTCTAATTGAAATTATTTGAATACCTGAAAATCTGCACGTTGTTCTCTAACTTCCTCGAAACATCGTTTTACACATTCAAAACTGGGTGATGAAGTAATAGCGTATACGAGAAGAAAAGCATGAGCTGTGGCTATACTCAATCTTCTCATAGCTGGAAATTGTAAATCCCCTAGAAATCGTGAAAATATATTTCTATTGTCAACAAGATTTCTCTATTCTTCAAGATTAATTCATTCATTTTTGGGATATAAATAATTAAGGAAGTTTAAGACATTTACATAAATGTGAGATTGAATACGCCGATAATTAATAATTGAAATATTCAATGGCCAGGTTTGTTTATATTTTAATGTAAAATTAACGTTCATTCTCGAGAAAAATATACACTCTTTCGTGGAAAATAATGAAACTAAAGTACGCTTAACAAACTTTAATAATTTTATTGAAAGTTCATTAAATATTTATTCTGGAAAATGGAAAATACTCTCTTGGAAAGTCGGGCGCGTGTATTATTTACGTATATATGCTTTGGAATAAATTATAATTATAAATTATGATGTTGCGCGTGTGTTAATAACATTTCGTTTTTTTTTGGGGGAGGGGAGGAGGGGGGAAAATAATCGAAAACAAATTTATTCCGTGGGTTGTGTGGAGAACAAAACCACAATTATCATCTGTTGGAAAATATTGTACAAAAATTGGGTATTTATTCTTAACGTGAGATATTTAATGATCATGCACGATAATTTTATGACATCCCATCGTCAATAAATGATATTCTTTTTGTTTATAATTATACTTACCAGTAGTGTCGAGAAGATCAACTTTAAGAGTGAGATTTCCTAAAACACATTCTCTGGAATATAAATCTTCAACAGTTGGCCTGTATCGTTCAGTAAAACCTTGTCCTAATAAACGTCGTATAATAGCACTTTTACCAACAGCAGCGCCACCCAAAACAACCAATCTGATCCTTTCGTGATCGGCCATGTTGTCGGTCGCCGACGGTGGCCTTAACCGACGGCGTATTATTTTTTCTTTTTCTTTTTCTATTTTTATTTAACGACTGTTACTAGCTTTAGCAGCTAGCCAATTCAGTAAAGGAACATTAACAAACACTAATCCAAAGAACGTTATCTTTTGCTTTTAGCAATCACAAGGAAATTCAATATGGCTGGCTCGGATAAGAGATTGCTGTTTCGATGTTAATTCGGTTTTTCTTCTTCTTCTTTTTTTTATCTTTCTTTAACAGGAGAAATTGATCGATCTTCTGAATCGAAAATTTCCTATCTACAATTAAACTGAATTTCTAATTTACTTGTCCCTTTTTTCTTCTTTTTCTTTTTCTTTAACTATTTCTTCTTATTTTTCTTACTTCTCTCTTATTTCTCACTTCTTCTTCTTCTTCTTCTTC